AACAAAACATGCCTCCCCTACCCTTCCTAACTGTCGTCCTTAAGTGTTATGACCACAGGCATTATCCTTTATTACTTAAGGAAAACAGTAAGGAATGGTAGTGGAGGCATGTTTTTGGTTTATATTAAATTCATTATTGTTTTATAGTGCTAATTTTAATAGCCTATGAACAATTAATGTATTGCATAGTACTGTATTTATTGATTTATATATAGATATGAGTCAATAAATACAGTATTATATATTACCTAATATCACTGCAAGTAGAGATAGTTATTAGAAAATGAATTATTTATATATATATAGTCTACCTCAAACATACACCCAACATTTCCAATGAGTACAGGTGTAAATCAATAGAAAATAACATTAAATATATAGATGTCAGAAACTTACTTTCTTTGAAGAATCCAATCTCAATGCAGAAATGGATTTTTTTAAATAGTCATATAATGAATACATGGGGAGGAAATCAATGTCGGTAAGAAAAACAAAAGGCGTTGTCACTTGCTGCAAAGCCACATTCCGTAAAAGGTTGACAGGATAAAATGGCTATAGAAAAAAATGCAGAAGTTACATTTGTCAAACTAAGCTTCAACATTCTTAAAATCTGAAATTAAGTTACATCACTTGTTGGTTGATTTTTTTCTCACAGTAGAGATGCTAAAAATGTTGCACACCCATTAAAAACTAAATAAAATTAAGTTTGCCCCTGAAGAAGAAAGGTCCACCTTTTGAAAGCACTTAGGGTATAGAGTTTGTATTCATTTTAATAAAATTACTGATATTCTACTTGGAAAATGTTAATATGTACAACACCAGCTCTGAAATCATGAAATGATCTAAATACCTATAACAAGTTCACTAACTGGACGAAAAAGTACTACACTATAGCTGAAAAATATAGTTAATTTAATTAAGTTTAGATTATGATGTCTGCTATTACTCTGGTAATAATTTTGTTAATTGAGAAGCGAGTGCAGAGGTAATTAAGAAGTATAGTTCCATAAAAGCACAGATTTTCATTCCCACAAGGTAGTATATATATATATATAATTAACTTTCAATGAGATTTTAATTACAATTATTTAATACAACATGCTGAATAAATAACTTAAGTATACCATGATAAACGACAATGTTAACCCTTCACTGTATGAGCTTGGTGATTTTGAGTTGATCAACCTTGCAACAACCATGTAACCATGAAATTATATGTACTATAACATTTAATGCAGTAAGTAAAAAATTTGGCAAGCTTTTAGTAAACATTAAGAATTTTGTACACAAAAAATTAGATGTTTTTAATTCATTATTTTTACTAAAGATTTGTATGTAACTTTATAGTCAGAGTCTGACTCAGCTTACTCTGAATGCAAGGTGATTTTCATCTTAAGATAAAAAAAACTTTTTTCTCTTAAAGTTTTTACATTTTATTTGCATAATCTCTAGAAACTCTTAACTCAGTAAATGAATATCAAGCTTTTTCAGTAAAACTTTATAGTTTCTATACTCTAACATTATTCAAGCTCTGTCCATTTGACCAATCTTAACTACCACAAAAAATACAATATAAATTACCCTTTTTTCTACAGACTGTATCAAAAAATTGACACAAACATATTGATAGAAATTAAATTTTCCTACACTGAAAATGTTTTTTGAATGACACTTCTCACTTCTAGTGCATCCTTTTGCCTAATCACAAATTGATGATAGTGCTTTACAATATAGAGGGAGTCAGCTGTGCTAGGAGGATGTGTCACACTCCTATTGGTGGAAGGTTGTCACATGCTTACTTACATGCTACAGTGCAGCTATATCACGTGCAATGATTTGAGGGTAGGTGGGAGCATCAGGGCTAGTGGCATGTGAAAATTGGGCATATATATGGCAGCACAAGTCCAGAAATGCTATTATTTGAGAAGAGGTGAGGTATCATATCGGAAAATGTCATTGTAGAAGCCTGTTTAAAGTAAGCAAAGACCAGATGTTCAACACTAGACAGTGTTGAAATGACCATCTCTGTGAAATTCATGTATTGGAAAAAAAGAAGAGCTACAAAATCGTTTGAAAACAGAAAATATTTCCATTTTGTAGATGCTTCAACTAAACTTTAATGTTGAGAAATCACACACAAGTGAAAAAAGACACATCTTAACACATGAGTGCCAAATTGAGAAGGTATGATTGAACAATCAGTAATGAGGGAGACAGTGCAGCACTCCTATTAGTTCAGGGTTGTCGCATGCTTATTTGTATGCAACAATATCACACGGAAGCATGTGAGATTAGTTTGGAGCCTCAAGGTTAGTGGTAAATGAAACATTTCGCATATAGACGGCAGTACTGAATCAGGTAAGCTAAATTTGAGTGGAGTTACGTATCGTATCGGAAATAAAAGTTTTATAATATTAAAATTACATATGTTAACTGGTACCAAGTTTAGTGACATACATTGATGATAAAGAAATTAAATTTTGATTATAACTTTGTAAAAAAACAAAAAAGGTCATAACATGTGCACTTTTAGCTACCCTTGTCCAGGAGGATAACATTAATTTTAATGGTACAGCTCAAGTTCTGAAATTTGTTTGAACATTAGATAAGATTACTTAGGTTCAAAATGTCATATGTATGAGTTACTATAGAATGAAATATGTTAAAAAAACTTGAGTTGCATCTTTCAATTTTTAAAAATAAATTGCAACTCTCAAACATTTGTTTTAATTGCTAGGTAACTAATGCTTCTAGATAGGGAGAATAGATAATTTCTAGATTTTTAATAAGTAAAACCAAGATAATTTTCCTGATTTCAGAGGGTTCTTTAATATTATCATTTTAATCACATTATAATGACATTTTTATTTATACACAAAATGTTAAAACAGTATGGTTTGGACACTGCTCAAATCCTGCATATTTTTTCAGATTACTTTTCAGTGTGTTTGAGTGTAATTAAAAGCTATTTCTACAAGTTTGTAGCAATACAACTTAAAGTAAAATTTTAAACTAATTATCAAAGAACAAGAAAATAAAAAATACAATAGTTGTCTATGGAAGACTGTCAATTATAGTTGCAACAACAGTTTTGGAGTAAACTTGTTTCAAACATACAGTCAATACCTTCAAATTGTATCAAATTTTCTTTTATAAATAACAGAGCTTAACTATAGTTACTGGCTAAAGTTAATCTCTGTGAAATTTATGTTAAGAATAACTGGTATCATACAGCATTCTGCCTCCCCTGCATCTATGCTATTTCCACATCTTTTAACTTCCATTTTTAACTTTATTATTTTATCAAAAATGCAGAAAAAAATTTAATTTTAAACAGAAAAATTAAACAACAAACACTGCTGAACGCTAAGACATGTATCATTTATGGATAACTTAAACACTTTATAAATGTGATGTAAAAGTGAAGGTTGTGTCATTCATTTAACATAACAAGCCAAACAGCAAAACTGATCAAAGCAAGTCATATAAAGGTTATTAGCTCTTTAAACCCATAATTTTTCATTCATTCTACCCAAATTAATTTCATGATGTCCTAATAATTATCACTATGCCTTATAAAAGTTCTGGGCTGTTTATAAAAGGTGAATAATAACATGGTTTGGATTAGTTTTCAACCAGAGATATAAATGATATTGGATGCTGTCACCATCCAATGGGTATATTGGGATTTTTTGCTGGGGTTTAAGGAGTTAATAAGACATAACAAACACTAACAGCAATCTTTAAAAGTTGCATAAGATAGAGTTGATTGAGGCAAAAGTCATATTAAGAGATAAATGACAAGAATGAACAGGCAATTAAAAAAAAATTCATATACTTTCAGTATAGGAAAAGCTTTTAATTTCATTTTATCATTCTGTATACTTAGATTTTTAAAACGTGTGTAAACTGATTCAAAAACATTACACCACTAACATCACAAGGTACACAAAATGTTATTAACATCTACCTCTAAGCTTTACTCTGTACATAAATTGAAACTAATTTTCATTCTGATTTCTGGAATAAAATTACATATTAACTTGAGATCTAACATGCAAGTTTTATACTATGCAACTTGATCAAAATAACTGTTGTTACTTTTTTACAAAACTAACTATGAGTAGAGAAAAGGAAAGCCAATATGCTTACCCCTTCACGATAAACAATATGGTAACCAACATTTTTGCGATTCTGAAGTATTTCTGAACTCAAGGTGTAACTTAAAAACTGTTGAACTTCAGAATCAGACATATACAAGGCTAAACTGATGGGACCTGAAAAAAAAAATTGTATGCATCTATACACTTATGTTAAATGAACAGATAAATTAACGCAAGCATGGATAGCCAGATAGATGATCAGACAGATGTATATATATATATAGATAGGTCTACAGAAATACATTTAAACTGCATAACTTGCCAGAAGAATAATTTCAAACATTGCATTAAGAAAACAATAACAGAATAAATGTTGCTGGACGTGTAGTAAATGGACATTTCTAAAATGATACATTTGATAATATATTTCAATGGGATGATCATCTCCAACTTTATCACTACAGGAAAGCACCAAATTACTGACTTGTTTACATACCATATCTTTTAATTTTATGATTTTGCTTTTCATGATAGACAGTGTAAAGATCTAACCAAAAATATAATGGCTGGATCACTCACTTTCTAAAGAAAATACATATAAAACCATAGCAATAATTACTGCTCAATACTAACAATATTGTATTTAATTTTACATGATTCATATTATTTGACACCTTATAACCAACCAACTCAGACAACAAGTAATGTGGAACATAAGTAGCTCAGAAACAATGTGTTTAAAAATCAGATAAGATCCATATGGACCCCTTCAATAATTCTAGGGTTATGTGCTTCATTCACTAGTCATATGTACACAGAATGTTATTTAATAGGTCTGGAAACAACATACAGAAATTTTTAAAATGTGAAAGGCAAGGATAATGTACTCTGTTCAATGGTAACTTAAATTAATGCAGACATAACAAATACAAAAAAAAAAAACTTCAATGTGAGGACAAAACTAATCAAATATGCCTTTGAATTAATAAGCAAAGCTTTTAACAAAAATCCTCAAATAAGTGTAAATCTCAATCTACCATTCAATTCACTAATTTTCAATGAGTTACATTACTTTCATTTTGCAGAATTCCACCCCTCATTGGTAATCCTTAACAAGTGCAAATCAAAAGAACAAGACTAGACTTCCAATAGTGTTGAATTGTATATTACATATATGGTGTTTGGAGTTATTTTTACTTACCACAGTGAATCTATATTTATACAGGATTTGATGAAATTTTATGTTATATAATCTTCAAATCCTATATAAAACTAGGTTCACTATGGTGAGTAAAAGACAACTCAACATATACACATGAAATCCCTCAAAATTAATATTTACAGATATCCCACCAGAAAGTAAACTAGTTTATTTGGAAAATACTCTTTTGAGAACTCTTACCAGCACACAGGCTATAAAAAATGTGGTAAGACTGGCAGATTTACCTTGTGAAGTTAGAATTTTCCTAAAAAGGTATATTTGGGTAGATGATTTAGTCAACTATACTACCACATTTAGGATGCAAATCTTAGAATGACACTTCATTAGTTGATATGAACAGAATTTGGGTAAAATTCTAAAGCTTTATCAATCCACTTATAAAGCTCAAAATCCATTTATGATATGTTTTTGTTAACATTGACAATTTTGCATGACTTTAACAATATAAGTTAAGTTAAATTAGAAGTTAAAAGTGCCACACCATCCCATGATGTTAGAATTTTTCTGAAGAAAAAAAAAATTGAGATCAGGCAGGATCAAATCTGTGACTGTGCTAACCATGCATACATATTAAGCTTTTGTGTACTGAAAAATTTGCTCTATTTTCCTAAGTAGATTATTTTTTCTCTGTTGTTTATTATATTTGTCACGTATTCTAATATCATATGTATGTTAAACTGCATTTATAAACTTACTGAAGTTATCAGTGAAACTATGAAACTAATTAAAGACAATGTAGGAATTTCAGCAACTTGTTCAAAAGTGCTTGAATATGATTTTGGATTGTGGCTTTTACACTCTTGGGTACCATGCAGTGTGACCATGATTTCACCATTAAACACAACGTAATAGTGTACATTGTCTTCCACATTTTCAAATAGGTCTACACACTGAGTTTTACAAAACTGTGTACTTTGGTTTCCTGAATGTAATCATCTGAGCAGTGGAAGTGATTTTTCAAACATCCAGTATGTATATGTACATATGAATGTAATCTGTTACTCAAAGTTTAACTGGTTTTATACTTTTATTGATTAATCTTCAGTAAGTTTGCCATTCAATGGTAACATTCAGCTTTAAAATACAAGATATTAGGATACCTGAGAAACATGATAAACAGGAGAATAAAAAAAAGAGTACTTTGGAAATTACAAGGCAAAATATAACAGGCTATGGAAAACATCTAAAAATCGGATTCCTTACCATCCCAATGTTTGCATACAGCTTCCACCATTTGCAGTCTGTCCATAGACAGCTGGGCAACAAGTGTGACATCATTACCTTCTGGAAACTGAAACACAAAAATTATCATTCTGCATTTTCTTTCTCTTATGTCAGTCATTTTATGTCTAAACAAAAAAGCTGTATTAAAAAATGACAAATATTTAAGCTTTCAACTAATGAGCTGATAAGTCACTTATCTTAGAAGAAAGCTTGATTGTTCCCTTGTATTTTTGTTAAGTTTTATCTAATTACAGGAGTGTTTTGGAACCATACATTGATGCTATTTTGTTAAGTTTTACCTAATTACACTATTTTTTAAGTGCTACACCTGATCTCTTCAGGTTTTCACTAGATGCCATTAAATTAATGAATAGGTTTGTACTAAAGTATATTACTTAGGATGTTACAAAAAAATAAAATTATTAAAAAAACTGAAATACTACTACTACTGTACACACACACGTATCCACATTCTATAAATGCACCAAAACATACTTGACAAACACATCCCCTGAAGGTTTGGCATGGCCAAGTGGTTAGGGAGCTTGACTCGCAATCTGAGGGTCGTGGGTTCAAATCCCCGGTCCGCCAAACATGCTCGCCCTTTCAGCCGTGGGGGCATTATAATGTGATGGTCAGTCCCACTATTCATTGGTAAAAGAGTAGCCCAAGAGTTGGCGGTGGGTTGTGATGACTAGCTGCCTTCCCTCTAGTCTTACACTCTAAATTAGGGACAGCTAGTGCAGATAGCCCTCATGTAGCTTTGCACGAAAATTCAAAACAAACAAACAAACAATCTCCTGAAAATTATTTCACAGGATCAAGCAAGCAGTATGAATAATGTTCAAATGAAATGTTTGCCCTATCAAAATCAGGCCATGATGGTATGTAAAGCCTATACATGTGTATGCTTGTACATATTTTTGTTCCTTTGCTTTGGATATTTGTGCAAAACTACACAAGAGCTACCAGTAATAGCTATCCCTAATTTTGGAGTGACAGACTAGAGAGAAGTCAACAAGCACCCACTGCCAACTCTTGGGCTACTCTAATCAAATAAAGAGATTTGACCACCACTCTTATAATAAACCACAGTCCTAAAGAGCAGAGCATGATTTTTGTTTATGGCAATGGAATGAAAACCATAGACCCTCAGATCCATAGACCAGCACACCCACCACTAGGCTGTCTGTCCCATATGTACACATACACAGTTAAAAAAAAACAATACAAAGTGTATTCAGTAGAAAAAAGCTACACTTTTAGGTTGGTCACCTGTTTCTAACAGGTATAAAAGATGTATTTCATTACACTTATTTTTCTATCAGTAAACATTTATGTAATGATTACCAAAGTTTAAGTTCTTGTACACTGTATTTTAAATTAATCTAAGTTTTAAAGTTATTTTATTTCATTATACAGAGTACTCAAAATAATTATGACAAAACAAACCAAACACATACAGGAGTCACAAACAATAAATGATGGCAACTACATGAATTTTTAAAATAATCTCAGTTTCTACAGAAGGCCATAAAGCCTCAAGGATGTTCGTAGCAGGACTTCCCACAAATTAAACCATGGCTGTGAGTGTTTCATCATGTGCTTTACCATCAAGATATCATTTCACCACATTTTCTGTATGCTTGGAATAATTTTCTTATTGGAAGATGAATTCCAGCCTGATAAGTCATGTTCCCAAGGTGGATCAAATCTGCCTCTACTTGTCAGAATTTAAGGAGCCATCAATTTTATGCAGACCACCAACACTGTTAACTCCACCACTTTTATTAATAAATGGCAATTTCTTCAGATACCCTCTTAAGACTCTTACATGTAGCTCCTACTGAAACATGGAATCTTACCACAATTTTTCACATGGAGTATCCTTGACCAGCCAAATTTTTAATTTTTATACATTTTTTATGCAATATTTCAGTCCTGGAAGCCATGACTGAATAACATTATAGCTACTGGATAAAGAATGACTGATTGTACTTTCTATAAGCTTTATGTTGGTGTAACATTTCCTTAATGGTTGGATGGCAACAAATCAGTGTGCTCTATCAACACATGAACGTACTCTGGTACAATCCATTTTCAAAGGATAATAGGGTAACAATGTGCCTTTTGTACCTTTTTTCCTCAACATTCTCTTAATTATTTTGTTACTGTATACTGATGTATGGCTTTAATTGTATATAGTTTCCAAAAAGGCAGCACATTAAACATTTTTGTCCCAATTCAGTGTAATACACTAGTTATGTTAGGCCAACAGCTAAAATTTCAAATCCAGTGTGTAACGTATTATAATAATAAGAACTTTAAATCTTTTAAATATGACTATCTTGTAAAACAAAATGCATTTTGAAATTTGAAAATTTACAAATACCATGAAAGTTCTCTGAACACTTACAGGTTCATAATCATATTCAATGTAATACAGATGAGTCCTGTGTTCAACTACTCTTGCTCTTCTGAATTCATAGCATGGATCATCTTCATCTATGGCATTTAACTATGAAAAGTAATAAAAGAAACATGAAATCTTCCACAAACATGATTCAGTGCTGATCCAAAAATAATTAAAATTAAAAGAAAGAACGTTACAGAACTGAATAATACAAATATTGTTTTGAACTAACAACAATTATAATCTCTAATGTCAGTATTAGGTGAAAGCTGAATATATAAGTTGATTTTTGATTACCAAGAAACCTTTGTATCCTGCATTATCTTGAGTAATTGAACATTCAATGTAAATAACTTAGTGAATTATTATTATTTTGAATATTTTTATTTGTACCTATAACACTTATAAAACTTACTACTTCTTGTACATGGGTACTTCTCGTATTGTTACATCCTATCAGTTCTCGACGCAACAAGTTCCCATCATACTCAAGGAAAGTTAAATAAAGGTTGCGGAAAAACTCCACATGCTTGTTTTTCACTTTCAATTTCTTGGGTCCAAGAAGTTGAAAGTAAAAAACAAGCACATGGAGTTACTTGTTTGTTTTGATGTTACGGATAATTCACTCACCCAAGAAGTTGAAAGTGAGAAACAAGCATGTTGAATTACTTGTTTGTTTTAATGTTGCAGGTGATTCACTGGAACTCATGAGTTCCAGTGAATCAACTGCAACATTAAAACACACAAACAACTATTTTCATCTTATTGAAATCATCTACTTACATTTGTAAACTTATATCAATACCTTAGTTTTTAAGTGAAAAAGCAGTTGAAATATTCATTATACAAATATTCATTGAAAATTATTGATCTCCTCCAGCTAATGACTTTTTTTTTACTCCTACCTAAAGACATTTTTTTTCTGAACCAATAAGAATTATCATTAAAGCCATAAAACAAATGTTAGTTGTTATAATCAACGAGTAGTACATTATATATAGATTAATCAATTTAGAAAACAATTATTGTAAAATAATTATGAAGAATAAAAAATCTGAACATTAATTCACAAGAAAATGAAATGCAGCACAGTTTAATGATTTCCGTTTAAGTATAACTACATAAAACCAGTGATTTAGGTTAGGAATAATTATCCATATTATTTTAAGTGCTATAAATAATATACTTATCTAAGTATGCTTATTCCTATAGATAGACTTGAGGCAAGTTGAATAAAAAATAGAAGCTAGTAACTGCTCGCAATTTTTCCTAATATCTTTACTGGTTGCACACTTTGACTTTAAATATTTTTTGAAAACTACTCAAAAATAGAATTTCTTGATGATGCTGTCCTTGAAGAAGCAAAACATCAAGTCATTACACATGTTTATGAAATGTATATCAGTTTTTAGGTTGTTTCATTTTTTAAATAATTTTGCAAGAAACTGAGTAAATACAAGAAGCCCTTTTATTAGAACACACTCTTGGTAACTGATTAAAAGTCATTTTCAGATTCTAATGATGTCGAAAAAAAACACATCAATAATATGTTTACATCAACCACTTACTTTTAAATCTTGAACTTCCGTGTAACAGAGCTAGAAAAGAATAACATGCAACATCATATTCTGTTTTCTAATATCTTTTTAAAAAAAACATTTGGTGAGCTTATTAAAACATTCTTTTATGAAACTACAACTTTTGACTCAACATGAAAACTCAAAGAGAATATACAAGCAAGTTAATCCTTGTTGTGCTTTTGAAAGGCACATTAGGCCAGTGATTAACTCCAGTTCCAGTTTCCTGTGACAGGAGCAGATGAAAATGATGATACATTACCCCTAGATGAGATGCCAGTCCATCACAGATTAACCCCAAGCTACTTACCGGTAGCCATTATACAACTGGATAGAGTGAAGAATTGGGGAAAAGTGTCTTGCTCAATGACAAAACATGTTGCATATAAGTCTCAAACATGCAACCTTTCAAGTACTAATCACTAAAAAAGAAAATATGTGAAGTTGTTCAAACTAATAAATATATATACAACACTTTTGGACTTAATAATAGCTTTTGAGTACTCCAAACTAAATGTGGACCTCGTCAGCTTTTTAAACACATTTCTGAACTGTTTATGCACTAAATTATTTGTGAGAGTATGACTGTTCATTACAAGATCCCTAATAAACATAAAAGTCACATAAGTAATAATAAAAAAACACCATAAATTCTGCAATTAGTCCCACTAATTACTTTTAATTTCAGAAGAAATGTATTTCTGGAGTAAGTAATTTTCTACAACACATGAGAAAAAACAATTCAGATAAATAAGTAAGTTAATATGAAAGTCTAAATGAAAACTATTTTTCTTATTTTTTGGGCAGACACCCTGATGAATGTATTTATATTATATATGAACCAAGAGTGAAAAGGAACATCATACCTGAATAACTGGATACAGGTACATGGGTGCTCACAGAAATATGTTCAAGGGTAGGCAAAACATGTATGTAGAGGATCAACTTTCACAGTGTAAGTCAACAGACTAAAAGAATATGTGTTGTGTTCTTAAATGCAAACACAAATTTACAGTTTTAATAAAAATTACTAAAAATACTTAGTTTAAATACAATGTTAAGTTTACATCATAATGCACACAATTTTTTGTGAAGTGTAAGGGGGGCAAATGCCCCCTCTTGCCCCTTCCTGTGGGCACCCATGTACAGGTGTGAAAACCTCAGCATTGTAAAGTCCATAGAGGTACTTGTAAACTATTGAAACTATACCAAAGTAAAACTACAATTTATTTTTTACATAGTTAAATTTCCATAAAGTGGTAAACCTTTGTTTAGGATATAACAATATATTAGTAAACAATAGGTAACAAAACCTATGAAAAGCTGAGAAATAATGTATTTTAAGCAATATATGTATTATTTTTCCTCAGCTTAACCTGTACTAATGATATAAAATGTTAATTGTATGACACAAGCTGGGAAATATGTATTATGTGCAGTTATGTGTTTATAATGTTTGGTTATTTGTATGTTAACTCAAATGTAACTTTTGTTTACTCTGATATCTAGCTTTAATGATAACTTTTCAAAATATTTATTTGTTTGCTTTCTTTCTTCCTCTAAGAAAAAGCTGCTATTATGTCCCAACAGGATCAAAGCCAAACACAGAGCATATTATTTCAAAATGTATTCTGTTTCTATTTATTATTGCTTTTATTGGCACAACCACTTACAAGAATGTAGTAATTTTTTTTCTAATGGTGAAGAAGGTATAAGCTCTATAATTTAAGTCTTCAGAACTAACCAAGAGTACATGAATTCAGAGAAATTGAGAAAGTCTTAATGAAATCGGGGAGTGTGTTTTGTCAGTACATAACTTTTATTGTACTGATGTGAAAGGGATTAATGATTTATAACCAGTTGTATAAAATACATTTTTTCTGCAATCATTCTTAATAGGTAACATTTTAGACCACAAAGATTCTAGGTACTGTACTCCTTTATTTCATGTACAAGCACAGATTACATTTACCTCACTTAGTGTATTGTCACTCAACTGTACATTCCACTGGCAGGGAAGACGATAAATCAAATAAGGATGCTGCTTTAACACAGCGTTTATTATATCCTACAAAAAACAAAATCAATATATAAATGACCAAATCCAACACTTAAAAATATTTTGTTTTAAAGAAATTTAACTACATGTTATTAAAAGATAATTATAAGTTGTATTAACAAAGTTTTAGTGAGTTTTAGTATGTTTTGGATACGAAACGTAAAATCAAACCTAAAAAAATAATAATAATAACACTATGATAACTAGCAGTAAGAGAACTTCAAACAAAGTCCCACCTGATCTGCCAATGAGGTGCTTAACATGCTTAATAACTCTTTCTCTGCAATAAACTTCCACATCTGCATCCAGGAGAGTTCTCTCAACCGCTGAAGATACAGTAGGATTACTCCAGTGTTGAAGCCACGCCCCTGTTCACATAAAAAAATATCAATTTATTTTCATTATTGAAATCTAGAAATAAATTGCACTATTTCACAAATTGTGTGAAAGTTGTGGAAGGTTTTTAGAAGTAATCTCAAGATATCATGTAAACAAAGTCATGAAAAAACTTCAAGAGAAGACTAATATTAATAAGTGGATACAGCTTTGTTTTCATTTGTTATTCACTTGAGCTCTTACAATTCTCATGGCAGTGATGAGAGAGCTACTTAAAAATACATGTTAGTTCTAGCAGTGTTTGGTTCATTTTGAATAGTAAAATGACATAATACCATGTTTCACAAATACTTTTTACCTAAATTAAATTTAGGATGAATAAAAATCAAAAGATAAATGAAAAGTAAAATATTTTTAAGATTTATTTACAAATTACATTTAAGCAATTATGCAACAGAAGAGTTAGAAGGTAATGCAACAAATTATCATAAATGTCAATGAATTACTAAATCAAAAAGATTACAGCAATACAGCTTTAAGACATAGATTAATCAGACTAAATAAAGACATAAAAACTCAATAATTGAAAACTGTAATTTTAAGGTTATATGTCATTGAGGCTTAAGACATAATGCATGTTCTAAAAATGATTTCATTATAAACTCAGTTTTTCAGAACTTGAAAACTACCAATTGCATTACCCTAAGAACACAAAAGTATTACAGTGCAATGAAGGAGACAAAATGTATTAAAATCACAATAGCATACTTAGACAAGCAACATATCTGAAACTTAATTTAACAATAGTAAATCAATTAATAACAACAATGTAACACTATACATGTATGTATTAGAGTAAATTTATAAAAAGCCAAAGAAGATTCATAGTCAGTGAAAAGTTATATAATTACACAAAGTTAATAGTTATTCATATATATATTTTGTCGTAGAATTAATGAATAATTCTTCTCAATAAATTAGTAGGCCTAACTATCTGCAATCTGTAATATTTTTACATTTGGATTGAATTACTTATTCAGTAACTTTAAAACATATGATCAAAAACTTCAGTAAATCACAATCATTGGGATTTTCAGTTTATTGGTTTATTGTTCAAGTTTGTAAGTGTTCTTTTAAAGTGAGTTTAGGTGACATATTCAGTATGTGTACTGTGTTTAACAACTTCTTTTATGGTCTTGAAACAATGTTTCAGGTTTTGTGCTACAAGACTCTCATCAACATAGAACCTGTTGGCTTGGTCTTCAAATAAAGTTTGTGGGGTTAATACTGATGAAACACTTAAAGAACAGAACATTGTCCTAAGACAATACGAAAAAAATTTACAAAACACAAATTTGTAAGAAACCTATCAATAAAAAAAATCTTAATGAAAGTCTGCTCATTAGAAATAATGCTACTGACATTCACCTGTACATATAAACTAAATATTTACCAAAGCTGGCCATGGCCGGTGATTCTTCCATAGTTTTCCTAAGTACCAATCACTCTGGTTTTCAACTAGACCTATAGTCTGAGAAGGAAACATTTTCATTGAACAGAAGTCAGTAAAAGTTTAAGTCTAGAAAATATCACTGCACTTAATGTGGAAAAAAAAGTATATGACTTTTTTATTACATAAATTCCTCTTCCCACAAAGGTGCTTTTGACTTACTTGTTTTGAAGTAAACTTATGAAATATTCGCCAGAGCTCTGCAATGTCTGTGGCAAATGTGACATCCGTATCTAAGACAATCACCTGAAAAGAAAATACACAAGCAGGTAGATTCATATAAAATATTCAGAGTACAGCACACAAATATTTAGTAAAACAAAAAGACAGAACAATAGCATGTGAATTTCCTATAGAAAAAGTACCATATGTACAAAAATTATTTTTTCGTATTGAATAAGGTTACAAAAATTAAAAGTATCATCTCATAAATGCCAATATTCACACTTACTCTTCAACATGATATAACCCTACCAAGTCTCAAATCAATATGCCATGAAATGAAAGAATGGTGGTCGACTGAGAAATGTTTGGAAGAAGAAGAAACAATAGAAAAACAGTACGACTCTTTGTGGAGACATAATTAGAAAAAGAAGGCAAAAAGAAAAAATGTGGTTACAATTGTAAGGCTTAACAAATTAGAGAAAACTGACACAGTCTGGTTTAGAAAAGCAGTGACAATAATGAATTAAAAAGTTGTGGTGGCACTAGCTTCAGCAGTACAAAATTAACTTGATACTGACAGGTATAAATGTCTTAAAATAAAACAATACATTTTTCCGACAATAATGTTTGAAAATCTTGTATGATAAAATAACAGTAATAATAATAATTTTAGTATTGGAAGTAAATAGTAAATTATGGTCTACACTAGACTAAGAAAAGTTAAAAATCAAATGCTGAATGGTCTTTAATAAATATGATTTGTCAGAACATTTTTTCATATGACTAGACTAATTGTGTAAACAATGATACAATGAATCTAAACAGGGTATTATATTTTTGTGCAATAATAAAAAATTATAACTATAGACACAGTCTATGTTACCTTCTCTAAAGTGTCAGGTAATGTTTTTGTTAAAACCAGCTTCATCAGACCATAGACTCCAGAATAATGTTTATTAGGAATCCAAGATACCTCTCCCTGTACATTATCAGCTAGGTAAAAACTAACGTCCACTGGTAAAGATAAAAACTGGTTTACAAATCAGTAAAGTTTTTTCAGCTAAAACAACCTTATATTTCCTCATAGAGATAAGAAAAAATAAATAGTACAAGTACTAACAATTTAAATTTATGTAAGAAAGGTTTAATTCTTCATGTTAAAAAAAAGACTTTCCCAAGGAAATTTTGTTCATTATATTCATTGTTCAATATTATTTATTCCTGTTATTTAAAAATCTTAGTTTTACACAACTTGCTAAGAGTATTAACCTATACCTTACTACATATATTTCATAACTGTTGTATGATTTATTGAAAATTATACAAAGTACTGCACATGTATATACCACATGGCTCATGTATTGCACACACACAAATTTTCATGTTATTTTAAAAAACAAACAAGTATTAAAATGTTTTGAACCAAATAATGGCTACATTACTTACCATACTCCTTAATGGTCATCACCAATATGCCATTACCATATCATCAAATATCTTGAAAACAAAAATGACTAATACTATTATCAAAACCTGAGTTCAAACTATCTGAAAAGTAATAGATAAAAGATTGTTTCTGATCTAAGTTTTCATACATGTTTCAATTAACCTTACAACTTTAAAAAAAAGTAAATAAATAAAAGATGGGACCTCCCATAAGGCCATTTTTGGCTGTAAAATCCAGTGAAAAATAAAATACTGAGAAATGAAATAGTAAGTGGTGCTTTCAGTAGTCTCAGTACCACCCTGCCTCCCAGCAAGTCAATATGAAGATTTGTGCAATATATTTGTTAATACAGGGTGTATATAATGGTTATTGTATTAATTTCCACCAAAAATCAGTCATTTACACACAAATGGACTCAACTATAACATTGAGCACATGCACATATATCCATAATGTTTGCATAGTACATGAAAACAGATGTGCTACATACATGTGCTCATAGCATAAGGAACAATAAATATATTGTAATAAATGCTATAAACTGAGAAACTATGACATCATACATACTCTGACATTCATACTTGTTGTTTTTCAAGACTGACCAGCAGACATGTCTAAATATCAAAACTGTGACATTAGTCCACTGACACTAACAAAGTTTCTGAACACTCAAGATCACATCACTAATACAGCAGGATAGAGCAGAAGTTCCAATTACACTGACAACTGAGGTTCTGATGACAGCAAAACATGGACATTGCAGATGTGAACATTTCACATCTCTACATACTTTTTCACTCCACATCTGTGCTTTGTGCTTATTATAGTTATTTTTTTGTGGATTACAGTAATAACACTGATTCTGTGTATGTGTTTGTTTTCTCAGCTTTTCCCTTAATAACGCCTTGATAAGGTAACCAAAGGTGTCTTTGTAAGGATTACATGCTCGGCTATCATGTGTGCTCCAGTGATTGAAATTCATAGTAGAGCCAAAAACAGCTCTTATAGAGAGCCCATCCTTTATAAGAACATGAAATACTAGACATACAGGAATACTCCTTACCTCCGGGAACATTCCAGGTGAGAAACAAAGTTTGAAGAATAAGTTGAGCTGCCGAGTCTGAGATAAAATGAAAGTGTAGTGGATTTTTACGATAGAAGAGAATACTTTTTATAAGTGTGACAACAGACCTACTAGAATTGTAGCCAGCACAAACAATCGATACATGAATAACTTCACATTTTGGTACCTCAGGTTCTGGGTTGACACACACAAATGTCCTTTGTCTACTATCCTGCTGTCTTTCAGTTTTTTTCAGAATTTCTTTGGCTGTATGGATACTACTTTCATTTTGTTGAGCTTCGTCCATAAGATTCATAAGCTGATTCTGAGAAATACTGTGTAGGTTGGTGAATACAAAACAGATTTGAAATTCAGCTGTGCATCTTTCAGTTTTAATCTTTAATAAGGTCTACAATTCATGAGTTATTCAAAGTACATACTGGAGAGTAAAATTAAAACTTTACCAACAAGTACTGTATTACTAATTCAATGCTCAAGTTATTTTGAAAGTTGTGTAAATATCCATGAGAACAAAGAACAAAAAATTCTAAATTTTCTGTACACATTTAGTACTAATATAAAACATACAATGCATTATATACATACTTTTTTATCTTTTACTCAACAACATTAATTTAAAATTTCAAAACATAAGAGATTCTGTATTCATATTAATGATGCAGCTTCAAAATAGTATTTAACATTTCAGGCAAAAAATATTTATCATTACAATATCTTACTCTTGTTAAGTGTGTGTGTGTGCATGCATCTAAAAATAAAGCCATATGAAAACAATTTGGTATTTTTTAAAGAATGTAACATACAAGTTTAAGTTGTCTATGGAGGTTGAAATGCTTCCTTCAAATATCCTTATAGGTCAAACCCCAGAAATATATAATTTCCTGGAGTTAAGTCATTTATAAGAAATGGAACACTGCATGAATTAATTAGAAAAAACAAACAAACTGAAATTTACTAATAACATAGCAAAATATAAAAAAAAAAAACTTATTTTTTACTCACATGTAACAAATAATATTATTTTTTTTCCCCCATTCTAAAACTATAGTTTTCATTGAAACAAAAATAAGTTATCAACTTATATTGATTTACATTAAGTAGCTAGTCTTCTATGGAATAAAGAACAAGTGGAATACAGAAATTTCTAAATGCTAAAAGCAGTGTTTTATCCACATTTCCCAAGTGGACTTATAAAATTCTACATAACCTCCAGTGAATTAAATTTATGACATGTTATTTATATACACACACACAAACATATGTATATATATTAATGTACTGAGAAACAGTTGTATACCAATTCAAACAACCTTTTTCTAGCAAATTTCCCTATAAATGAGCCACAAAAACTACTAACAAATATTTAACATGATTAAATGTTAGGCCTACAATAAATTCACTAATAAGATTATTTTTATGGTTCAACAATACAGAAGTCTTGCTTAGGAAAATTTAATTAGTACTGGAATGAGAGTAAAGACATTACAAAACAAGCTATCATATTAGTTAGAATACATGTAGTTTACCCTTGAAAGTAATAGAAATTACAAACCATTTTGAAAAAAACAACTGTATATAAGGAGAATAACTCAGTCCACATTCTAAATTACCAAAAAATTGATTTTAATCCTGCACAAAAAGACCTTGCAGCTAACATTTGAAGTACAGTGTAATAGAAACTAAAATGGCTATGTGAATCTGTTTCAACAAAAAAAAACAGAAAAAAAATCCACAAGAACAATAATTTTTTTAAAGGTAGCTAGAAATGTAAATAACATTAAAAAAAGGCTAAAGTAATAAAGCAGACCTTAGCTGCCTTCGTAACAGCTGATTCTGTGCTTCAACTTCTCTCACTCTTTCTGCAAGCTTGGCCTCACGTCGTGTAAACCCCAAGAGATTGTCTGTAGTAACATCTGCAGTGTAATTGTCATATTTCAGTAAATGAATTATCAAATTTGAATAAAACAAAAAACTAGCTTAAGTTACCATTACTTTTTAAATACTTTTTCTACAAAGATAAGTGTTTCCCAGAAGGTTTGAAAAATAAAAGCTACATTTTTAACTTTACAATTCAAAAACAACCTTTGTTGATTAATTTAAATTATAGACAGTACAAATTGAATTACCAAGAGTACATAGATTTAATCCATCATAGAAAATACCATACAGCAACTTTATTACAAATGTTGAAAATATTTTACACTTAATAAGTACCTCAATTATGAACATCAACATTAATTTCAAACTACCTGATGCACATGAATACAAATTAAGCATGTCTCAATTGTTCAACCAGTCGCACTATTAGGAAAAATTGCTAATTTCTCATTTCTACCACCAAGCTCTTTATTTTAGAAGGTACTCTACCTTGCAAGTACTAGCACCATTACATGTAAAGTTATTACATAAAATGTAACAGCATTTAAATTTATAGCCACAATACTAACCACTGTTTCTTAATAGTAGAATTTCTGAATAAAATAATTATTTCATTTAGCTTAATTCTTTTCAAATGATGAAAAACTGTTATAAGAAAATTAAAAAAAACTCAATAATGCAGTACTTCAAAAAACTATAAGGTAACTAAAAGGTAAAGTAATTAATATAATGTTTAGGTTTTAAAGAGTTCATTATAAGTTTACATTGATATAGAAACTGAAAGAAAACTAATACAAAAATACTGATTTGAATGTTTAATTTGGTAAGTATCAACATAACTAGAGGATGTTTCAATTGGCATCTGACACCTCATAATATACGAGGGTTAATCAGAAAGAAATAGGATTGCTTTTCCTGTAGCTCTGCCACACGAGATCAGAACAAAGAATAATTGATGTTGAGGGTGTTGATACAGTCACCATTAATTAATTTAAGACAAAGTTTATTCTTTGTTCCATAAGTCTGATCATATCAATATGGTAAAATGCAGGTATATTGTTATGAATCTCACTACATACAGTTGTTTGGAAGTGTTGGCCACCAGACCACGAGAACCAAAAATATAGAAGTTACAGAATGCTAAGTCAAAATAATATATGGGGTCAGAAATGACTATTCATATAATGTTTTTATTTGCAGTTCTTATACTATAAGCAATATGGGGCCCTGGCTTTATCTATTAGCAATGGATGGACATGCATTCCTATTAACACAGTCATTTGTTGGCTATTGTTAACACACATCTAATATATGTTAAAAATGAGTATTCTGAAAGATATTTTGGGAAACCTAGAAACTGAAGTTTTGCCTAGAGTTCATGAATTTTCCCTGTATAAGGTTATTCTTAACCAGTGATTCATTCTGATAAAGTTGAACATGCACCAAACCCACAACTGCAAAGATATATTACAAAATAACTTGAAGGTTTTCACTAGTGAAGTTTTTATGAAAATTTCTGTATTTCAATCAGGATCTGAAAGTTAACTTTAAATGAAGGATTGTTCAACTATACAAATAGAACATGTTTACTATAATAATAGTTTCAAGAAACTGAACTAAAATTTTGTCTGCCAAGTAAGGAAAAAATTACAACATGAAAATTTCAATAGTTGTAGTTACTTTAGATATTCTAAAATAGCCTAGTGACATTGTTTACGATGTTACAAGGCACTGCTTACAAGCGTTATCCTTCAGATCAAATTAATTTATGATGCATCAGTATTATATCTATATAAAATTCCGTTTCAAACATAGTTTGATAAAGAAAGTCACCTGTTTGTTTATAATATGAAATGAAATATATTTTAAACAAATCTGAAAATTATTTTCCCGTGTTAAGGATATTTCATTAAGCAATAATTGTAGCTCAAATTAACCAGAAGTGAAATTCTGCTGGTACTGGAACTTTTTTTTAAGGCAGTACTAATGCTGGGACTTATTTGAACTACTTTGTTGTTTGTTTTTTTATGTTTAGAATAGATTTTTTTTGATTTTTCAAAAACAGGTCCACTTCACCCAGCTGAATACAACTACTTTTTCTTTCTTTTTATATAAATTTCACCCCTGAAATAAACAGATAGATAGAAACACATACCAGGAAATTATAATTTAGTCAACTTCCACTTTCCCGTTTTTTTAAAGATATAGCAAATGTATTCAACATTTTGTGTTTTAAAAAATACTAATCTCGCCAATCTTTAGCTTTTTTTTGTTTGCAGCAATTATGCTGACATGACTAATTCAACATTTACCTTAAAAGTAAGTCAAAATACAGCCAAGAGATGGCGCATTATTACTGGACATTCCAAAATTGTTTCGTTTAGTTTTCCTATACTGAAAGTTAAATGTTACGAGTGTTCGTACACTAACAAAAATGAGCAAAAACAAAATAAAAAAATATCTCTCCCAAGAAACTGTACCACTTATAAAGTTGCAAAGTATTTTATTACCACATTAACAGTTCACAAATTCCGCTAATCATATGCTTTCCTGTCATGATAATTAAATTTGCTTCTCAAGCAGTGTAAAATACGATTAAATCAAATACTTAAACCATCGATATAAGGTAAAAATATTTATTTCGAGAAAACAAATGTAAAATAAGTTAACGTACACTGTAAACAAAGAATTGGTCAAAGACACATTATGTTTCTGGCTAGCATCACACTAAAATTCAACCTTCAACATTTCTGTGTTGTTCAGTTCAACCCACCCCCCGCTTAGTTTAGCCGCAATTTTTATCATGATGGTTTTAAAACATTTTCACGTACTCAGCTTTTCTTAAGTTTCGTAAATTTCCTTAAAACCACTCAACTATACTGGTGATTCAATTCCCGTTTCTCTACCACGACCAGCTAGTGTATTTTGATAATAATTCTAGTGTTAGTCCAACAGCATGTATCAAAACAACATTTCTGTTTCACTATTATTAAATAGGCTGAACTTGTACAAGAGTCCCACTATACAACACGATTGCTGAATTATTTGTTTGTTGAATTTCGCACAAAGCTACTTGAGAGTTATCTGCGCTAGCCGTCTCTAAATCAGCATTGGTAGACTAGAGGGAAAGCAGCTAGTCAACATTACCCACCGCCAACTCTTGGGCTATTCTTTACCAATAAAGAGTAGAATTTAGTCTATGTTTTATAATATCAAAGGTTTGAAATTTAATAAGATCTTGCTTCTTTACCATTTTCTGACGATCAGTGTTGTTAAATTTGGCAATATTCATTTCGTTTTTGTTGTTTTTTTGCAGCAAAATATGCATTTCAAATATATATATTTGGAAAACAGCCTTCTAACGTGGTAAACTCTTTGATATATTATTTCATCTACTATATTCAATTAGTTTGTTTACCACCACCACCACCTTCTATCGTGTTATTTTCTAGTTTTCGGCCATATATAATCGATCCGAAAATTCAGTAATTTTTCATTCACAGAAACAATATATTCGCACTAAGAAAGATTCCTTACGGTTGTTTTCAGGCTTTTAGTCATTTACATAATGCATGTATTTGTTTTGTTACCATTCACTTACGTTTTTACTGGTGGTGATTTTAAGTTATGTAACTTAGAAAAAGACACTTAAGGTCCCCACGTTACAGTTCCATCAAAGATTATACTAATATGATAAAAGCGTGGAAAGGTGCAATAACAATATTAGTACAGGTAAAGGTTACACTTCCATTACAGTACATTGTAATTTTTAATATGAAGTTAACCATAAGCACGACTGAAGCTGCGAGTTCAAAACGACAAAGTTTAACGTGAGTTAAAACGTGGTTTTCTACGATTTGTATCGACGCCGTTGGATAAGAAGGTTCATCTAGGGACTGGTCGACTTCCTTGAAGTGTTAATTATAGTTTAGAGTTTTATCATTGATACCTAATGTTTGAAATAACGAAGCACTTTTACCACGTGAACGTGATACTTCTGTAATGAACGTAAAAAGAATTAGGCCCGAGCAACTGTAGCGAATGAGCCATGAAGTATAGTTAAATTAGGTAAGACAGATCAGATAATTCTTATTAGACAGAAATCATAGGATTCAAAGGGAAATTATTGATTTTAAATAAAACAAATGGAATTATATTGTCGATAAGAAAGGTCTAACTACTCATCAAACACGAGTTTAATTTATCAAGCCAACACTGCATAACAAATTTATTTACGTTATTTGAGGCGCTGTTCAACAAGTGGTCGTATTTCTAACAACCCTTTACGAAGGTACAATACATATATAATATTATGTTGAAATGCACTATTTACTAAAACGTATAAGGACTTAAAATGCCATTGTGGGAAAGGAAACGTCATATAACCGTACATTGTTTCTACGGCGGAATATGTGGTAAAAGCTATAGTACAATATAACTTGCACGTCTTACCTCCCTCTGACGACACCAAGTAAACGAACAGCAAAGCTGGAATAGAACACACGATGATCAAAGCAACAATGCTAAATCGTCGTCGTCGCATTCTGGGTCCCCGTACGACAGCCAGGAGTTTTATCACCAGGACTCTTGAAGAACGAATTATTTCTACTTTGACCTATCCATGTTGAAAGAGTGTCATCTCTGAAAGGAACAAAAGTTATTTATAGCTACAAATTAATGTTGTGCAAGTTTTGGGAAGGAAAGTGTTCACTTATCTTGTCAATATTTTAAGTGTGATTAGTTTTTCTCTAACTGTTCCATATTGTCTTATCGAAATGAGCCAAAAGGTACAATGATTGGTGTGTGAACACTAGTATCGCTTCTCTATACCGTACTACATTACACAAAACAGTGCATATACGGAAGTGGTGCACGCTCAGCCGTAACTTAACTGAATCGAGCCCACAGAGAACAGAACTGATCGGCTTCGTCTGGGCATCTATACTGTACAGCTATCCTGCATAGTGCCAGCGGTGCTATGGCACTAATGACAGGTTACCATGACAACCTGATCGCACCGACGGCCAGACACGGTAGGATAAACAAAGCATCATTTAAGCTTTATTCCCCCTTGCTATGAACAGCTTTCACGTTGTCATATCCCTTGTGAGATCAACTTCGGCCTATGTAATCTCTTTAAGCTTGAACTACACATTGTTTCTACAGAACATTCAAACACTGAACGTAGCTAACCCCGGGAATGATGTCTTTGATAAATGAGCAAACAGATCAAATCTGTAATCTTTAAGATAGTAGCAGGCAGAAGATCAGAATCTGCGTGTTTTTCTCTTAGCAATGCCCACCAATTTAAAGTATATTTTTTCATACTATTTGTAATATATAGTAGTGGTGTGAATGAGGCACACATCGTATGGTTGTAATGCTATTACACACCATTCTTCTTCTTCTTGAAACACCCTAAGGGAGTGAATAAAGAATTTAGTGCTAAAAAATATGGTAAGCCTAATACTAATGTCTTATGGCAAATATAATTTATTTTTAATATATTTTGGACTATATTAAAGTTATGTCAGATTATCTAGATTTATTAGTTAATTTGTGATAAAAAGTTCTTCCCGCTCAAATTTTTGGAAGTTAATTGTTTACTTTTGGAACTAATACACTGCAGTACTTCAAAGTACATGGATGAATGCAAGATGCTCCATATAAACCTTGCACGGTGTGGTTTCAAAGCAGGTTTAACTAATGAATATTTAATAACCATTCTACGTAATATTTTATAAATATATGGTAAATGTCCAGCATTAAATAAAATGTTTTGTAGGTTTCAAGGTTATTTTGACTATAATCCACTTTGTTTTTGACACGTGTGGTTGGAAACTTACACATTAGTGAAGAGTAGACAGTTTAACTCTGTCCCGATGTCGGGCATATCCTATCAACATTTGTCTACTCTTTCTTCACTATCAAGGTTTCTTGTTGTTTTTTTTTTGTGTGTGTATAATTAATATTCATAATAACACGTCCCTATATCTCCACTTGCTTCACTTGCGCGTACGGGTTAATAATGGAGTTGTATCTTACATGCTTGTATTGTCTTGCATGTTTGGGAAAAAGGCGAAACACTATGTTGCAGCTGTGATGTTCCATTTTCCAAAATGATGAATGAAATCTTTCAAATTTCCTACACTCTCGTTTACTACTATATATCTATATCTATTTACCTAATGTTATTTGTGTTTTACTGAGTTTTAAAAATGCCACGGGTATAACACAGGTCTGCGAATTTAAAATTCATAAAAGTTGTTTCGGTTTTAATAACGGATGTTCCATAATTCCTCAACGCAGATTTGGAAAATAATATTAATTTTTTTTTCTATCACGTAAGAATTTTTTACAAATCGGGAAGAAAAACTCTTATTAGATCAAATTATTTCGTTTACTACAATGAACTTTTTTTATATTATTATGTTTGTTAACAAAAACACAAACAAACTGAAGAAAAGGGAAGAACATTGATGTAAATCGAATATGCATCCTCATTCACTCTGATTTTTTGGTGTGAAATCTACGTCTTGTAGTTTCGAACCTACGTGTTGTGGTCTTTCTTTTATGTATTGGGTTTGGAGCATCTCGTTTCAATGACCGGCAGTAATCAGCCATCATGCTGATGTTGTACCTTCCCCGATACCTCCTCTCCATTTCTCTGATGTCTTGATTAAACCTTTCCCTTGTTCTTCACTGACGGCACCGAGACTTTTAGGGAAATAGTCAATATGTGATTGTAAGAACTTTCAAGCTCATATTACAACCAAACGCTTTGAATTTATCGAGCATGTTATTGACAATATTTTCGTGATTTGAGTCCTTGTTGTTTCCTAAAATTGTTCAATAACATCTTTAAAGGCAATCCACGCTTCTTTTTAAACTTTCCTCATTGTCCTTTCGAACTGTTCATCCGAAGTCAGTTTCCTAATCTGAGGCCGAACTAAAATCCCTTCTTTAAGTTTCGCTTCTAGAAGAGCTGCGAATTACCCACATAGATACTTGAAACAGTTGCCATATTTGTCTAAGGCCTTTACAAACTGCTTCATCAAGCCCAGTTTTATGTGAAGTGGAGGTAATAGGACTTTCTTTTTGTCAACCAAACTTCCACGTTCAATGTATTTCGATCCTGGTATCAGGTTGACTCTGCGTGGCCATTGCTTCTTTATCCAGTGCTGATTTCGTGCTCTGTTGTCCCATTCACACAAAAAACATGGAACTTTGTATAACTGGATCGTTGACCCAACATCATATAAAGGACTTTTAAGTCTCCACAAAGTAGCCAACCATGTTCTTTGTATTTGACCTTACTAAGAAGAAGTTCGAGATTTTCGTACGTTTCCTTCAAGTGGACCGAATGAACAATAGGAACAGATGCATATGGTTACTATTGTGGAGAACACCCTTTAGACTTCTTTTGGAGGAATCAATGAACAGTCGCCACTTACTTGGTTTCATAGACTGCAGCTCCTAGCATTGTTATTAATTCAGCAATATTGTTGCAATAAACCAGTGAACTTTCTTGTGAAAAGTATGGTATAAACTCTTTCTTCCGATTTCTGTACCAGTAAAGTGATGTCCCTAGAGAAAGTAAGTTCTTAGCCCGAAGCCTGGACCCCAAAATCTCTGAAGAATCCTTTGGAAGGCCCAAATCTCTCACCAAATCATTAAGTTCAACTTATGTGAAAAGTTGTGATTCACCAGACGTTTGAGGTTGAGAACAATTCCTAACATTATTTATATTGACATCAGATTCAGAATCATAAAAAAACTGTATCAAGAGTCGCCGTGAAGTAGGTACAAGTACATCAGGTCTTATACAAGATCGAAGGTTCGGATAAGAAATTCCATTTTTATTTCGAGCGTTGTAGCCTTGAACGTTACATGAGCAAAAATATCAGTCATCTCCGTGGTTTCTAGGTTCACGCCAGACCACTGGAATTCCAAAAGGCAAAGACGTTTTCCTACCGTTTGTCCATTGTCTCAACTCTTCGACACAAATGGTGCAAACTTTGTGCGGAGATCACGATTTGTCTTGGTCCCCAAGTTTTATTCCAAAATGCGCGTAATACGCTTTTTGGACGAATTCTGTAATGTTTCTTTAGAACAAATTTACCACAAATATAACAGGATATGTTTGAGTCATTTATACAACCTCTTGTTGTCATAGCGACGAATAAATAAAATTGAAAAGTAAAAAAATAATGCCAGAGTGCACGCACAAACAAATACTATCCAGGAATGACACGACATGCGGCCTGTTAACCGTTTATATACTAACGGTGTGTTTCTCGTGGGTTCTCGAAGGATCGATAAGACTCTCTCGGCGCCATTTGTCTAGAGAAATCTATAGACAGTAGTTGTCAACATTTTAAGTATAACAAAATGTGACCCGATTTCAATGAAATTGATTCACTTATGTGAAAGTACATATGACGTTTTGTGAAAAATCTGTACGTGATGGAGAAAAGTGGATTTAATTTTCGGATTCAGCGTACAGGAATTACTGTAGAACATGTACAAATGTCAAAACAATAAAACCATCGCAAGCATGTGTAATTAATGTGCCCTTGTTGGTGCACGTCTCTTAAAACTTTATTCACACTTTCTGGTTGTTTGATTTGGTGAAATTCTTACAATTCTAGAAGGCCTTTAAAACAAAGTTAAGAAAAACAAACTGTATAAAATATTGTAAAAATCTAAAAAATGAAATAAAAAAATTATATCTATAAAAACATAACTGAGCTGAATGTAACAATCTCGTAACTCATCATACAGAGAAACAGGAATGTACATCACATCAACGCAAATGAGATTTCTGGATATCAACATTTTCTGTGAGAAAATTTATCAAACAGAATTTTTGTCATCTTACTATAAAGATGACTTACTGTGTGTGTTATCATCCATCACCCGGAGTTGGCTGTCTTGATGTACTTCGGCTATTTTATTTTAATATTTTTGCTAGAGAAGAGTAATAAAAAGTCCCTTGCAATAGGACACATTTCGACCCTTTTTTCTTTTCTTTTTATAGATTTTTGCTTTTCATAACTGGAGTTGGCTAGGTCGATTGTCGTAATTTTTTGCGTGGTAACTGGAAACTGCCCAACGATTTATATGGCCTACTTTGTTTTAAGATTGTCCATCGAGAAGGGGGATAAAACACGCTAAAATAGGGTACACAAACAATTTTTTAATAAATTTTTGGCTTTGAATTTAAAGACAAGTACTTAATCAGTTAAATGAGACAATTATTGCCTTCCATAGAGCAGGTTAAGCAATTAGCATCTGATGAGATCATTAAAAACTTACACGAGAAAGGGGTAAACATTACATAACACTATCCTTTATACAGTTTCTGCTTCCTTCACGGGTACCCTCAGCTAGTTTCATATAAATGCTATATTTCATGCCTATATGAACTAGCATATATAACACATGTGCTTCGCTGTGGGGTTCACAAGATCCCCTCATGATTTCTAGAGGCCTCAACATACCGATCAAGCTCCTCCATTATCCGCAATTGCTTCTATAGCTACCCCAAGGGACCCGTACTCGAAAGCAAACCCCATTAGGACACCTGCCCATAGTCCTGGGCACGAGTCCCACGTTTGGTCCCTCTTGCTTGTGGGTAG